AAACTCTGTGCATATCACTATACCATATAGCTTATGAATAAGCCTGTTGATTGTTTCTTTGTTTTGGTCCTGATTTTTGCATAAAGAAAGGTGGATCTTGTCTCTCTTTCAGATCCAGATCCAATCACATTCCATGTTCACTATGTAGTTCTGTAGGAGGCAACCCTCATGGGAAAAGGAGGGACAGCATATTAAAAAAATTTTTCCTATGTTTTGTAGAGTTAACACTGGTTTACAACACTGTATGTGATTTTGGGATATAGGTTCGCACCTCTTCAGATCTATGTTAATACACTAGGAACAGTTTTAGTTTGAATATCTGAATACCTATGTGATTTTTTATTTTTTGAGATAGTAAGAGCATGCAGAAGCAGATGTGTGCAGTGTGAGAGCTAAAGAGGAGATGAGAGCAGGTATGAGGACCTGCTGAGGTGGTTTGTGCTGGAATAAGCTACTGGGAGTTTTCGTGTTGTAAGAGTAGTGGAAAGGTAATAATATGGAAGTAAGTATCTGTTATAGTAACTGAGGACTGAAAGAACAAAGGGGCCAAATACATGAAAATAACCTGAGCTGCCAGGAGGAAGCGAAAATTATAAATCAGAGTAGAGAGAATTGTTGGTAACAACAGTCACAAGTCTCAGCACACCATTTCTATGTCAGCTTTCCTCCCTTTAACATTTAACTCCATCTGGCACCTTTGTTTATTTTTTTAAAATATTTTTTTTTTTTTTTAAGATTTATTTATTTATTTATACATGCACTGGGTACAGTCAGAAGAGCGGGATGGTGAGAGAATTCACCAGAGACAGAGCGGGGTGCAGAGCAGGCAGAAGGACCGAAGTACACTGCTGAGGGGAGCAGCGGGCGGCAGGAGAAGTCTGCGGCCATGTGGGACCCTCCTCTGGTGGCCGGGGAGCAGCCGGGGATCGAACCGGCGCTGCAGAGGTTGCAGGCAGCTTTGCAACCCAACGTTCAATCGCTGCGCCACCGGGCAGGCCCCTGGCACCTTTGTTTAATCATATCTGAATGGCATAGTAGAAAGAACACTAAATAAGAGTTTCCCACTTTCTTTTCTTTCAGGTCCCAGCTTAGTCACTTACAGGGGGAGGCTTTCTTATCCAAAAATGAGGGATTAAATGATCTCTAAAGTCCCACAAATCTATCATCAGCAATGTTGAAGTCTCCCAGGTTTAGATCTCTCATCACATCAGGTTGGAGTATAGAATAGACTATGTTTGCAGTGGTGTGTAAGACACTGAACAGCTGATAGGATGGGTGCAGCATCAGGGAAGTGAAGAGAAAAGCACTATCCATGGGATACTTGGGGCATTACATTTTGAAGGGGATTGTGGTGCCTGATTACCTGAGACTTGTGGGAGCTAATTTTAAGGTTACTTTGTTTTAACTGCCTATTAATTCCCAGGTAAGAAAATCTTGATTTTTTTTTTTTTGGGGGGGGGATGGTGTTGGGTCTGACCTGAATTATCAGGGGAAGAATGCAGGTCTCTCTGTACTGAGTCACAGAGTATTGTAGTGCTGGGCTCTCCTCAATACCATTTGACTCTGTCAATGTTGGTTGCAGTTGGGACACAGGTCACCTCTTGGCCTCTTTGCTTTCTTCCTCCCCTCATATTTATCACTTTGTCATCCTTGACTCTGAATCCCAGAGATCAAGACTAGCTGTAGTCTAGCAAAGAGGCAATAAATCATTGCTCCCACTTTCTTTTCATCAGGTTTCCTGCCCCTTAATTACCACATATCCATTGCTGAAGCTGCATCTTTGTGCTGTGGGTTCTGGGGACAAAAGCCCTAGTTGATTGGATGTCTGCGAAAGCTACTTTGTCTCTCTTCAGCCATTATGTTTTGTAGAGTGCCACTTGTGTTACCCATCCTCTCCCCTTGTCTTCTGTGAGTTTGTAGAGTCTGATTGTCAGGTAATTTATCCACTACCAGGCTTGTCTAAACTCTGGGGTTAGGGACTGAAGTGGGCAGCCCTTAAATAACTCAAGATGATCTTCATTAAGGAGCATGTTTTGGCTGGGGTTAATTATTTTTATATGGATTTTAGCAAGTCCTTTTCTTTCTCTGTGCCCCTGGTAGGCTATAAATTGGTTGTGTGATCTTGTATGGGCTCCCATGAAGCCTTTTTATATCTATCTATCTATCTATCTATCTATCTATCTATCTATCTATCTATTATCTATCTACCTACCTACCTACCTACCTATCTATTTTGTCCAGTTCAACAGTTAACAGACAACATTGAAGGACCAGCTGCCTCTGATTTGCCTTTCCATTATGAAACCTCAGTGAACTTAGGTCATTGGGGCAGGGATGCAGAGTTTGTAAATGAGGATGCCTTATCTTCTTCATCCCTAGCCAGATTTTTTCTTTTTTTTTTTTTTTTTTGCTATTTGAAGGGAATATTTATGCTGTAGAAACAGAGTATAGACAGACTCTTGTACTTTTTCTTGCCTGCTGTTTCTTTACTATACCTGTGCTTCAGAGGATTGAGAGTGAGGGGTGTTGTGTGGTAGGTAGCAAGTGTCTGGAGAGTGTCATTCCCTGCTGTTTCAAATCAAAGGTCACATCTCTCCTGTAAGAGGGGTAAACTTCACACAAAGCTCAGCCAGCATGGGAGAACAGACTTCTCTGATGGCAAAGAAGCAGATTTGGTCTTTAAAAAGGAGAGGTCAAGCCTTTTATGTCTGTGGAAGTGGAAGAAGATAGAAGGACCACTGATTCTTTATAGATTCACATTGAGTAGGGAAGCTAGATACAGGGGCAGTAGTTAAAATATGCACAGGAGCAGGATTCATTTAGTGATTCTGGGTGATAGAGTAAAATACAATTGATAACTTTTTTTATGTTTAATATTTATTTGTAAAAATATCCTTAAAGCTGCATTGTAAACCCGGGACTTGCATGGTTAAACTAGGAATGCCTCAGTAAGGATTGCCAGACAGAAAGGGGATCTTTTTGGTAAATGTTGTCATGGTTGTGAGAGAAAAGAGCAAGCTGCATTTTTATTTGAATAGTGAGGGCAGCAAGGGCCTTTTTTTCCCTCTTCATTGAGCTCTTTTTCCATCTAGAGCTGAAGCAACTATAGGTTCTACTGTGTAGCTGGCACATCTGGGACCAGTTAAATTGAATTATATCCCTCTTAACAATGATTGAAACAAATATCTAAAACTTGGTGACATGCAGTGCTTGCAGCTTAGGGTGAGAGGGGCCCTCATTTTTACCTGTAAATTAAGCAAATATGATGGGGAAATCATCTGGGAGTAAATTTAGAACGTTAAGGTGTTCATTTTATAAATTTTTGTGCTTACTTGCTTTGTTTTGTTCTTTTTTTTGTTGTTGTTGTTGGCTTATAACAATGTACATGACTCAGAGGTCTAGGTTCACAGCTGTTCACGTGCATGTTACCACATCATACCTGCCGTGGGGACCCCCGTTCCTCTACGAGGGTCAGTTGCACCCCCTTCCCTGGTAGCTACCAGCTTCCTCTGGTAGCTTTGAATATACAGTCAGAGTTTAGGGTTTGCTTTGCATTGATTTTATCTGCTTCTTTGTTTTGTTTCTATTCCACATATGAATGAAATCATCTAGTATTTGTGTTTTTCCTTTTGACTTACTTTTGCTTAGCATAATCCATGCATGTTGTCACAAATGGAAAGATTTCATCTTTTCTTTCTTTCTTTTTATTTTTGTGGGACCCTCGCCGGTGGCCAGGGAACGAACCGGCGCTGCAGAGGCTGCGAACAGCCTCACAGACCAGCACTCAACCACTGCACCACCAGGGGAGGCCCTCTTTTCTTTTTTAAGATTTATTTATTTATGCATACAAGAGCTGGGGTGTAGGCCAGAGGTGGGTGGGGTGAGAGGATTCGCCAGAGATAGAATAGGGAGCAGAACAGGCAGATTAACTGAAATACACTGCTAAGGGGAGCAGTGGGTGAGATAGGAGAGGTCTGCTGCACCATGTGGGTCACCTCCCTGGCCAGGGATCAAATTCATGCTGCAGTGGCTGGGGATTGCTTAACAGTGCAGAGATTTTTTTTTTAAGATTTATTTATTTATTTATTTATACAAGCACTGGGCAGTCAGAAGCGTGGGAGGGTAAGAGAATTCACCAGAGCCAGAGCGGGGAGCAGAGCGGTCAGAAGGACCGAAGTACACTGCTTAGGGGAGCAGCGGGCGGCAGGAGAGGTCTGTGCGCCATGTGGGACCCTCCTCCGGTGGCCGGGGAGCAGCCAGGGATCGAACCGGCGCTGCAGAGGCTGCGGGCAGCTTCACAGCCCACACAGTGCTGAGATTTAACATCTTGTGCCACCAGGGAGGCCCCTCCTTTTTTTTTTTTTTTTTTTTAAAGATCTATTCATTTATGCACACAAGAACTGGGGTACAGGCCAGAGGGTGGGGGTGAGAGGGTCCACCAGATACAGAGTAGGGAACAGAACAGGCAGATTGACTGAAATACACTGCTGAGGGGAGCAGCGGGCAAGTCAGGAGAGGTCTGCTGCGCCATGTGGATCACCTCCCTGGCAGGGCGGGAAAACTAACTTGTGCAGTGGCTGCGAATAGCTTCATAGGTTGCGTCTTAACCCCTTGCACCACCAGGGTAGCCCCCCTCTTTTTTTTTTTATAGCTGAGTGTAATATTCCATTGTGTTTATATACCACATCTTTATCCACTTGACAACTTAGGTTGTCTCCATAACTTTGCTATTCTAAATTGCTCTTAGTTGCTATTTAAGAAGTAGCAAAAAGAAGCAGATATAAAGAAAAAACAAAACCTTCTTTGGGTAGATAAGTAGACATGTACTTGGGTAGGTCATTTCACATGTATCCTGCCTTACCTGATTTTTAAAATCTTGGTAGCTGTGACTTACTCTTTCCACTCTTATTTGGATTTCTGGGGAGCTAGTCTGCTTTCATTTAACTTTATTGATTATGCTTTAAATAGCTAAATAGCTTATTGTCTTTTTTTTTTTTAAGCCTTGATAAATTTGCTGAAGTTCCTCATGTCAAATGAGACTGTGCTTTTGGCCAAACACAACATTTTTACATTAGCCCTTATGGTGAGTAACAAAATGTTTCTTTTTCTGAAATCATCCCTTAAGACAGAGCTAGGTCAGTTTGAAATAGGAATTGGTGGTCTGGTAACTAAGTCACAGGGAGAATCAGCTTTACTTTGTTCTTGGGTTAGGTTAGTCTTTTTGGATCCTCCTCATTTTTATCTGTGTCTTAGCAAATCTGGGACTTTCTCTTTCCTGAGAGCATACTATCTGGCAGGGGCAGATATAGATTAGATCTCTGTGTATAAATAGTGAACTGTGTTCCCAGTTGGGAGACTGTACTGTATTACTACAGTCTCTTATGTAGCTAAGTAGCAAAACCTCTAGAGGTATCCCAGTCAGACTCGTGAATCCTTCATAGTTGTACTTGGCTACTGGGGAACATTTCAGGTGCTTCCTCATCTTACTGGTTATTTGGGTTAGAAGAAAGGCATTGTGCTCTTGACTGTCTTCTTCAGGAAGTGTTTGTTTATAAATGCTTAACATTTAGTGGGGGAAAGCCCTAGTATTTACTGATTTCCATAGTAGAACTGAAGCCATAATGACCAAGGTCAAGATAATCAGCATAATATCATTGAGGGTAGAGTTTGGAAAAGATATGCAGTAACAATCCATTTTATGATATTCCTACCACAGAGATATAAAGTATAAATTAATCTCAAATACATGGATAATAGTAAAAGAAAATAATTAGGAAGTGATAAGTTTTGAGTTCATTTTAATATAATTCATTTAGTTGTAAGTTTATGTAAGTTAAGTTTTACTAATGGCTGTATTTAACGGCCCGTCCACCAAATTCCTGAAAATTTAACAATCATCTCACACAAGCCAGTGAGAAATGGCTACAGCATACCACTGAGAATACCCTTCCGGTTTTTATAGCATGATGCCTATATATGGACTTTTGTTTCTTTTTTAGATTGTGAACCTATTTAATATGTTTATCACATATGGTGACACATTCCTGCCCACCCCCAGCAGCTATGATGAACTCTACTATGAGATTATTCGCATGCACCAGAGCTTTGACAACCTCTACTCCATGGGTAAGCAGTTTTTTCTATTTACTCTTTCCTCATCGTCTGTCTGATTTTTGGCATGTGGGAGAAAAAGACTATGAAAGAATTCCTCTAGTTACTTGGTGCCCTTGCTTGGCAACAAAACATAGTACTCTCCTCTTTTCAGGCAGAAGGAAGGTATATGTGGATGTCTTTGCCTTAGGAACTTAGAATTAATATTAGTGGAAAATTTGGTGGAAAGGGCTAGCAACTTTTAGCCCTTGATGCTTGAGAAGGGAGGCTTGTGGATTTAGTGACTGCTGTTGAGAAGGGAGTGAAAGAGTGGGCGGAAATTGACAGCGGCAAATAGAAAAGCTTGGATCCCAGAGGAACATTGTGTGATTTGAGAAGGTACAAGATTTTAAGGAGTTTTAATGTACCTATGTATTTTTAGCATAACTTATGAGAGGAAGTGGATATTAGATAAAAATCTTTTTCTAAAACTTTTTGGCCATTGGCTCCTTGAAATTTAATTTTTCAGCCTTATGAGTTGACTTAGTTTCTGAAAGAGGTCATGTATCTTTGTAAATTTGGGTAAAGTATCTAGTCACTCCTACCTGGAGTTTGAAAGGTCAGGAAAGATTCCTTTACACTGCACAGGAACAGAAAGCCACTCAGTAAAATTAGCTATTATAAAACCTTAGCTTTATTAAGCCTTTTTGAGATATAATTGATATGTAATAATTACATGCATTTAATGTATACATATTTTAATAAGTTTTGACATATGTATATATATGGATATGAAGCTATTACAGTGATTAAGGTAAAGAATGTACCTGTCATGTGTATATATGTATATGAAGCTATCACTGTAATCAAGGTAAAGAACATATCTGTCACCTCTCCAAAATTTCTTTGTATCCCTTTAGAATCCTCCTCTTGTGTTCCCCTTACCACCTCTATCCCTTATCCCCTCCATCCCTTGGCAACCACTGATCTGTTTTCTGTCACTATTGATAGTTTGCTTCATCCCTTCTGTTGAGACTGAAAACTCTTATCTCCTGCTTGGGACTCCTGTATCTTGAGAAAAGTGGAGGGGATTTGGAACAAGTACCCTAGGAGAGGAGTAGAAACAAATTGTAAAAAAGAATACTTGTTTAGGAAGAGAAAAACCTTTTCTAATAGACTTTTAAGAGCAGAGAGGAAAACTTATAAGAGAACTATGTTTAATTTTGTTAGGACATCTTAAGCAGTGGGATTATGGTTTTTTGATTAGTTCTTTTTTCCAATTGCAAGTGTCAGAAAACTCCAACTTATTAAACTATCTTAAACAATTGGAAAATCATTCCACTTTCCAAGAATTCCAAAGAGTATCAATTCCCAAATGATGTGACCAGTTGCTCAACGGTGTTTACCAGGGTCCAGGTATTTTTTCTATTTCTCTGCTCTCTCTTACTCAATATAATACAGTTTTGGTGTCAGGGCAGCTCCTCTCAGAATGGTAAATTCCAGTTGTCACATCAAGACATGTCTTTTTCTTTTTTTCTTTTATTTCTTTATTTATTTTTTTGTACAAGAGCTGGGGTACAGGCCAGAGGTGTGGGAGGGTGAGAGGATACACCAGAGACAGAGCAGGGAGCAGAACAGGCAGATGACCGAAATGCACTGCTGAGGGAAGCAGGCTCGACAGGAGAGGTCTGCCATGCCATGTGGGAATCCCCCTGGCCATCCGGGAATTGAACCTGCACCACAGAGGCCACAGAGAGCCTCATAGCACTGTGCTCAACCCCCTGCGCCACCGGGGAGGCCCCTTTTTCTTTTTTTAAAGGGACCAGAAGCCTCCCATGAGTACTGTCCCACAGACTTCCCATTGACCACATGTGCTTTATGTGCCCTGGTGGTTTTGCATCCACCCTGCTTTACTACCATGCTTGTTTTGAGAATGTATAATTTTCTGAGGATGTTAAACTGCCCCTGAGGCTTTTAACACCCAATTATAGAGAAATAAAGATATCTTTCAATCAGGAAAGGAAAGAGAGCTGGAATGGGAGATACATTTTATAGAAGCGTATGTACCTGCCCAGTGGGGCTATGTACCCAGATGAGATAAATAAACCCTTAGTAGCTATAGTAACAGAGATATTTGGTAATTCTCAAAGCTGCCAAGAGAACTAAAATGTTTACCAGGATAGATCAAATAGGAAAGTGAAAATTTTCACTAAATGAAATACAACGGTTAGTAGTAGCATATTTTACTGCTTTCCATTTTACATAAAGTATGATGAAACTTATGATGGAAAAAAGCATTTCTTAAAAAGATTTATTTATTTATGCATATAAGAGCTGGGGTACAGGCCAGAGATGCAGGGGGAGAGAAGACTCACCAGAGACAGTGGAGAATAGAACAGATAGACTGACTGAAATACACTGCTGAGGGGAGCAGTGGGCAGACAGGAGAGGTCTGCTGTGCCATGTGGGTTTCTCCCTGGGAATGGAACTCGTGCTGCAGAGGCTGTGCATTGCTTCATTGTGCGGTGCTTAACCCCTTGCACACCAGGGAGGCCCAGAAAAAAGCATTTTTTAAGAGTCAATTTTTTTGGAGTATGATTAACATATATATAGTAAAATTCACTCAAAGTTTGAGTTTTTTTTTTTTTTTTAAGATTTATTTATTTATTTATACAAGCACTGGGTACAGTCAGAAGTGCGAGAGTGTGAGAGGATTCACCAGAGCCAGAGCAGGGAGCTGAGCAGGCAGAAGGACCGAAGTACACTGCTGAGGGGTGCAGCAGGCGGCAGGAGAGGTCTGTGCGCCATGTGGGATATCCTCCTCTGGTGGCCGGGGAGCAGCCGGGGATCGAACCGGCGCTGCAGAGGCTGCAGGCAGCTTCGCAACCCAGCGCTCAACCGCAGCGCCACCTGGGAGGCCCCAAAGTTTGAGTTTTAACAATGCATACAGCAGTGTAATTATCACAAAAAAATCAAGATATAGAAGAGTTGCATTATACCAAAAATTTCTCTTCTACTCCTGGGAGGTCGTTTGTATGTGTTGCTGAATTTGATTTGTTAATGATCATTAGGGATATAGGGCTGCAATTTTATTTTCTTATAATGTATTTTTTAGTTTAATTTTCTTTTTTAGTTTATTGAAATAACATTGGTCTATAACATTGTATAGGTTTCAATTGTACAGCTTTATAAATAAATGTCTGCATATACAACACATGTTCACCATTTAAATTCTAGTTTCTGTTCTTCACCATATACACCCCTTTTCCCAATTTACCCATCACTCCCCTTCCCTTCTGGTAACCACTGTCTTGTTCTTATAGTCTAAGAGTTTGTTTTTATTTTGTTTTGTTTATTTCCTTTGTCTTGTCCACATATAAGTGGGAATTATATGGTGTCTTTCTTTTGATTGATTTATTTCATTTAGCCTAATACCATTCAGCATCCATGTTGTTGCAAATGACGGGATTTCATCCTTTTTTTTTTTTTAAATTGGCATGTATTATTTATTTATTTGTTTGTTTGTTTGTTTGTTTGTTTGTTTGTTTATACAAGCACTGGGTACAGTCAGAAGCGCAGGAGGGTGAGAGAATTCACCTGAGCCAGAGCAGGGTGCAGAGCAGGCAGAAGGACAGAAGTACACTGCTGAGGGGAGCAGCGGGTGGCAGGAGAGGTCTGCGTGCCATGTGGGATCCTCCTCCGGTGGCCGGGGAGCAGCCGGGGATTGAACCGGCGCCGCAGAGGCCGTGGGCAGCTTCAAAACCCAGCGCTCAACTGCTGCGCCACCGGGGAGGCCCGATTTCATCCCTTTTTATAGCTGAGTAGCATTCTATTATACCACATCCTGTTTATCCACTCATACATTGATGGACATTTAGATTGTTTCCAACTCTTGACTGCTGTGAAAAATGCTGCAATGAACATGAGAGTGCTTATATCTCTTGGAATTAGTGTTTTCATGTGCTAGGGATAAATACCCCAAAGATGGATGACTGGATTGTATGGAATTTCTATTCTTAATTTTTTGAGCAATCTCCATATTATTTTCCATGATGGCTACACCAGTTTGCAATCCCATCAACAGTCTATGAGGATTTCCTTTTGGGTTTTCTTTTTCTCTACATCCGCGGCAGCACTTTTTGTTTCTTGGCTTTTGGATGATAGCCATTCTCACATGTGTAAGGTGATATATCGTTGTTTTGACTTGCATTTCCCTTATGATAAGAGATGATGTACATCTTTTCATGTTCCTGTTAACCAGTTGTATCTCTTCTTTGCACACATGTCTATTTAGGTCCTCTGCCCATTTTTCAATAGGGCTGTTTTTTGGTTGTTGAAGTGGTTCTTTAACAGGCTTAATCCACTTTACTTCTCTAGTATAAAAATTTTGTGGTGGTCACAGCTGGAACCTGGATCCTCTGCATTGAGACTCTGGTTTGGGTCTTCACAAGATGGTCAGTGAATTCCTGTTAGGGAGATTTAGTGACCACAGTCTTTCCAGAGGTCAGGGGTAAGATAGCTGTAGGTCTTGGAGATGGCATTGAAAGTGGTGTTGGCAAAGTTGCCCAGGTGGCGGTGCAGCCCATAGTTAGTCATCAGTACTAGCTATCATCAGCAACTTCTTGAACACAGAGGACGAAACTGCCAGTCCCTCTGGGCACAGGGATGAGAGGCACACCAGCACAGAGCCAGTGGCCTGTCATCTAGCAAGGGAAGGTATGGGGCCTGCCAATTTTATTCTTGCCTCACCTCATGGGAAGGATGGAGAGTTTGACCAGAATGATAGTCCCTTGGATGGCAGTGGCAACCTCTTTGGATCACTTAACATTCAGATCAGCATATCCGTCATAATCACCAATAATGATAAATGCCTGCTTCACAAACCAGCCTGGGCCTGGTTTTGCACAGATATAATCTCCTCACCCTGGGTTGGCCCAGAAAAAAAAAAGTGATCGCAGATTCCTTGATAGACAAGGAAAGAGTAGAGCTCTCCAGAGACTTGATCTTCATGCTCTTGACCAGGCAGCCCAGCTTAG